ACTTTGTCATCTACCTTATATCGTTAAAATGTTCCCACCGATGCTAAATCCTAACAGCGTCGATGTAGAAGTTAAATAAATCCGGTGAGAAGACACACCCTTGTCTTACACCAGTTTTTATTGCTATGCACCTGTTCCATTCATTTTCAATCCGTAGGTACCCGTTACTTCCTAGTATAAATTCTGGATTATTCTAACAAAATTCCGAAATAGATCTAATTTTTTTAGTCATTCAAAGAGGTCTTTGTGTCGTACATTCTTAGTTTAATAAATATCTGTTTAATAAATTATTTTTTTCTCTTTGGGACATTTTAACAATTGACGGAGCGATATAATTTACATAATCAAGAATTTATCACCATTCTAAATTAATTACTTACAGAAAAAAATAATAGTTAGGTAGAAAGTGGAAACTATATATGAAGTCATTCTTACGTTTAAAAGCCAATGGCATTCTGGGAAGTACTCGCCCGAGGATGGTGGAACGAAGTGAGGTCCAATCCTTTCCCTTATATATTACGAGTCATTCAGAAACAAATGATTAAAAGAAGAAATATAAAGAAAATAATACAAAAAGTTTTGATTTTCAGCTTTGAATGAAGTATTTTAAAATTCTAGCATTTATTTAGATTTTCTTTTTAGATTAAACAGAGGAAATGTTCGTTAAAAAACGAACTGCTGAACATATAAATCCTTCGATATGACAGTGAATGTTGGACAGTTTCCTCACAGATGAAAAGAAGATTTGAGATATGCTTCTATAGAAGGATTCTGATAAATACCATGGACAGATCATATGAACAACGAGAAAGGTTTCTTAGAAATCAATCGGTCACTTATGCCTAAAATTTAAAAAACATTTCTAATTAGAACACTTCTAATTAGAACATCTAATGAGGAAAAAGGCTTTGAACATTAGGACACCTAATGAGGAAAAAGGCTTGCAAAATTTAACATTGACAGGACATCTTGAAGACAAGAAGGGCAAGGTAAAACGGATCGAGGGCAGAACAGGGAGTGGGAAAAAAAGGTAAAAAAAAAAAAGGAGAAAGAAATCTTGGAGTATTTGACACAGGGCATATTGAAATCAAATAGGGTAGAGGAAAACGACGACGAACCTTTCAAGGAATTTGTGTAAATAGATGTCCGATCAAAGACATGGAGGCATAATAAGGGGACAAACGCAGAGTCGAAAACGAGAGGAAGTTGGAGAGAGCCATAAAAACTTAAAATATGAATAGACACACGGCATAAAAAGAGAGCAGATAAAATCTTGTCTGCGCGCTTTTTAAATGTCTATTTATTCGCTTTCATATGTGCAACTCTGGTCGCCTTTAACGACTCCCTAATTTTGGTCAAAACTGTTTTATCCACAATTATTAGAAAATATAATTATCGAAATCAAATTGAAGGGCTCACTGACATTCTATGATGTCGCCAGTGCAATTGAGAAATTATTTTTCAAAGACTGTTCTTAAATGAAGAACATTCTGCGTCAGGCCTGGTCCGTGCGCCGAAGAAGAAAAGCGTGAGCAATTTCCTAAAGTAAATTTTTACGTAGATAAATCTACAATAGTTTATTTTACAATCGGAGAAAGTTCAACATATATTTTTTTCAAAGTCGTTGGGGGTCACGGCATTTGTTTTGAACAAAACGGGTTCGTGTTTCAAAAAGTTGGGAAGATCTGATGGAAAAAGATTCAATCAAGCATGATAACATAATGCAAAAACAGAGGCAACAATTGGAAACTCATTAAGAGCTGTTACTCAATAGAGGCCCCAAGAGTAACTCAAAGTAGAGGATTACTGAATGAGGTAGTTTTCTGGACATAAGAATTATTGATTATATGGATATGTAAAATAAATAAAGGTTGACCCAAGAGTTGAAGAGGATAAGGTTGTAGTGGTTGGGAAATCATGCTGTTTGTTATCTGTTTCACAAAGCAGAGACCCCCTTCTTACCTATGGAATACAAAGGGAAATAGGACGGTTCATCCCTGCGCACAATGGATGGTGGGTCTTAGCTGTGAAGACCAGAACGGAGTGATTAAGTATATAACAGAGCACTTCCCATGGAAATAGCGATAAAATATCGATGGACAATAATTCATTACCTGCAAGCCGTGTAAACGTTTTCAAATTCTGTCTAGGCTGGAAAGAGAGAATTGGACAGCTCCAGCAAAGATATGGCAGCGTGATGGGGGGCGAACCGCCCAGAAATGGACAATTGAAAAGGACTTTATCAGAATTAATCTGAGAGAATAAATAGACACAAAAGTTATCTTTGATTGTGAGAGATTCAAACAGATCACAAAGATCAAATCCAGCAAAACAGGTAGCAGTTATCCTAAATAAAGAGAAGATTGTTCAAATCGCAGTTTCACTAAAATTTAAAAAAAAAATACCAGAAAAAATAAAATCAAAACCGAAACGCTGTACCAATATCTAAACATCATGAAACATCTAAAATAATTGTGGAAAATTAATGCGATATATCTGCTCATCATTGTTGGTGAATTTGCATTAGTCCCCAAAAATATGGTAAAATAGCTGGAAGTTTAAAAATCTGAAAAGAATCGAAACCACCAAAAGAGAATATTAATTTTAAGGAAAATGTCCGAGAGAAAAAGTAAAAAGACCATTAATGATTTGATTGGAGAGCCGTCAGAAAATATGTTGATAATCGTTTCTACGAAAATATATTGTTTGAAATGAAAATTCGAGGAATAATTAAGACATTATAAGGAATATCAAAACAGAGAAGGACAAGGGCAAACCGATCTCCCCTCTCTCTCTCTCTCTCTTTCACTCTCTCTCTCTTACTCTCCCACTCTCTTTCTCTCTCTCCCTCTCTTTCTCTCTCTCTCTTACTTTCTATTTCTCTCACTCACTCACTCTCTCTCTCTCTCCCTCCCTCCCTTTCGTCGCTCTAGAAGAAGAATATGTAAAGGAAAATGAAAGATGAAGAATTAAGGTATTACAGGGAATATCAAAACGGAGTAGGCCAAGGGCAAACCGATTTCTCACTTTCTCTCTCTCTCTTACTCTCTATCTTTCACTCTCTCTTTCTTCTCTCTAGAAGAAGATGAAGAAGAAGGTGAAGAAGAAGAAGAATATGTAAAGGAAAATGAAAGATGAAGAATTAATGCATTACAGGAAATATCAAAACGGAGAAGGACAAGGGCAAACCGATTTCTCTCTTTCTCTTTCTCTCTCTTACTCTCTATCTTTCACTCTCTCTTTCTTCTCTCTAGAAGAAGTAGATGAAGAATAAGAAGAAAAATATATTAAGGAAAATGAAAGATGGCGGACAAAAAGAAGCAGAAGAACAAGAAACGAATGAAGAAAAAAGTATACGCGAAGAAAGAAGGAAACAAAATTATTAACAAAAATAAAAAACAAAGAGAAAAAGTAGAATTAAAAGAAAAGGCACACGAAAATAGATTTTTTTTTTCGGCTTATCAAACCTTTGCAGATTATTTATAGCCAGAAATCTTTTTTTTTAGATTGTAACAATTTTTGGAGATAATAATGATTTCCTAATACAAGTCCTACTAACTACTCCATCGCTGGGAGTGGGTAGATTCATACCTTTCCCAAGGATATTTGTTCGTAAGTGAATATAACGAACCCAACTGGATTTGGAACTCGTTTCTCCGATTTCCAATTCCGAGCCGTTATCCATTACACCACTCGCACATCCAAGCTTACCGCACCTGGTATCCCAAAAGGGTCAGACATCAAGGTATTGACCAGACTCGATATTGCTTAAGCGTCGTTTCAAAGTGATATGGACTTCCCGCGAAAATAGAGAACGAAGAAGACGAAAAGATTCGTGAAATTAAAAGAAGAAGAAGAAGAAGAAGAAGAAGAAGAAGAAAAAAATATAACAAAAATCAAAAGAACGAGAAAAAGAAAAATTATAAACGAAAATAAATGACAACGATGAGGAATAAGAAAATATAAAAGACGATCAGAATACAGGCAAAAATAAACGACGAAGAAGAAACAGAAGAAAAATATCAACAAAAATAAATGATGAAGGACAAAATAAGAATTAGAAAGAGAAAAAGAAAATTAATACAAAATATAACACGAAGTTAAAGAAGAAAATATAACGGAAAATAAAAGACAAAGAAGAAGAGAAAAATAAAAAGATTATCAAAACATAAAGAAAAATAGAAGAAGAAGAAGAAGAAGAAGAAGAAATCAAAATCAATACGAAAATGAAAGGCAAAGAAGAGAATAAACACGAAAAATCAATAAGAAAAGAGACTGGGAAGAATTTAATATGACGAGGGGTACAGGAGATCAATACCCAGTTGTTAATTGTGGCGTAAATACGAGAGATTTGAACAGGTTTAAAATCGATGAAGTTATGAATGGGCGAGTTATGTTAGCCGAGGTAAGATTAGATGAGTTGGTTGTGCTAAACTAGGTTATGAATGGAAAATATCGTTGAAGCAGACGACTAAGACAATGACCAACGGCGTTTATTTAATGATATTTAGAAATACGTTTTTTCTCCTACTCCTCTCTCCCTTTTTTCTTTTCTTTTCTTTCTTTCTTTCTTTCTTTCTTTCTTTCTTTCTTTCTTTCTTTCTTTCTTTCTTTCTTATTCATTATTTTCATTTATTGTAACCGTTATTTACATTTCTTTGTTCTCCATTGTTTTCGACTTGCTCTCTTTTTTCCTTTCTTTGATATTTTATTTTCAGCTTCTTCGTATTCATTCTTTCATCAAATTTTCTGTTTGTATTGTTTCTTCTTCTTCTTCTTCTTCTTCTTCTTCCCAAACGTCATTTGATTCATTACCTACCGTTTTTTCTTTGTCTTTTTTCCTTATCAGCTTCTTTTTCTTTGTTTTATATTTCAACCTTTTCTCTTCTAATTGTTCGTATTTAACCTATTCTTTGTCTGATTCTTTGTCTTCTTAATTTTCTTTTTGTTGTTCTTCTTATTCAACTACCATTATTACTACTACTTTCATCTTTTCTTTTATGTTTTCTTTAATTTTCCTTAACTACTTTTTCCTTGTCCTTCACCATGATCATTCTTCTTCTTCTTCTTCTTCTTCTTCTTCTTCTTCTTCTTCTTCTTCTTCACACACTCACTTTAGTATTCCAGCTGATTTAATCCATCCTATTATCTAAATTACTTTCTTAAATTTATAATTTGTACTCATTGTGTTTTCGTACAAATTATTAAAGATAAAGTGACTTTAGGTTACTTGAATTCCCCAGCACCTTCCTCAGTATTCAAACTGATATTATTAATCATATTGTTCGAATAGTTTGAATATATTTTCTGTTTACTAATCCATAACTGATGACGTTGAACGGAGATTAAACAAGAGCAAATGTTATAATTAGGTCAGTAATCTCCTCAATGAGTATTAAGTCGGTACTTAAAAGACAATATTAATTTTACACAAATACTTATTTTCAACATAGTCTCTGCCATCGTTCATAAATTATGAATATTAAGTACATACGTGGAACATTTTAAATTCAATTCCAGCCAATAAATCACGTGTCAGGCCACTGAATTGATGATCAACTTCGTACTCTTGTTGTCATTATAATCGTTACACACTTTCCAGTTTTTTAAACATCTTTGAAAATGGGGGCATTTAATTTTTTTTAATCATTTGCCCCAAAGTAGGACGGGAATGCCACTAGTACGCCGTGAGTTACAGGGTATGAAAGTGAGAGAAAAGACTGAATATAGGGAGGACTGAGGAAAGGACAAAATATGAACGGAATTTAAGAAGAAAAAGAAAATGGCGATTGACGTTGAATTTAAATTTTTTGAAGATTTGACACAGTGACCCAACTTTCCTTGCATTAGGTGCGCCATTGATGGCAGATCTGGACTGATACTTCTGGTATATATCTAGAGATTCTTAACAAATTATCAAAAATAATCTCCAATATTATAGGTCCTGACCTGGCATCTCGACATCAATGTTTCCCACTGCCGAAGCGTAGCATCTCTGTGTCTTTTCCATAAATATTTTCATGGCAATTATTCTGATGAGCTTTTCTCTTTGGTACCATGCCTTGGCGAATTCATGCATAGTACTAGATTGGCAAGTAGGTCTCATGACTTTACTGGTGATATCGTTAGATGCAACCGTAATTTTTATTATAATACTTTCTTCTCTCGCATTTATCACCTGTGGGACTGTCTTCTACTTCTTGCTTTCCTGTCATCTACGATTCTCAAAAATTTAAATGCAGCGTTACTCGTCATCTTCTGTCTCCTTGAAACCTGTTTTGTTATTGTCCTCTCTTCTCAATAACATTTTATCAGTGTATTTTACTTTCAGTAATCCCTTGTGTCATAGTGGCTTTATGGCCTTTCTTGGGGTGAAAGTTAGTAATATACTTCATACTAGCCAATATTTTAGATCTCAGGAATATTCTTGAAATTTTTTCATTAGTTTTATCTATTTTTCCTGGAACAACAATATTAGCTATCTGAAAAACATTTTCTCATGATGATTACCTCAGTTAATATTTCAAATTCCAACCGTTATTTATTTTTTCATTCACTAGGATAATTTACACAAATTCATGTTAATTGCTTCCAACCCAAATGTGCATATATATATATATTCTTTTTTTTTAACAAAATATTCACTGATTACAAACCAGCTAAGACAGAACGTTCTTGCAAAGTTTTCTTCACGTTTTACTTTGGTTTGGGGATATGGCGCCAAATTGCAATTAACTATTTTCCTGGCCTAAAACTGACGGTTTACTCAAACGTTATGGTTAACATTATAAAATGATGTAGCTGAAAAATTCTCAATAAGGAAATTTATACGTACTTATATAAAACAAATGAATTACCTACATTTATAGATCTGCATACATTTATACCAAATACAGATAAAAATGTGATCTTCATGCCTACTACTCCACACAAATATACATTATAATCTTGCGTTGACAAACTTCAGGGAGCCCCTAAATTCTGGACGCATAGAAAATCTTATTATCTATATTTTTACCTCCACAGATTAAACATGGTTTGGTCGAAAGAAGAAAGAACTGATTCTTTTTCTGGAGAATCCTAAATGAAAAAGTGTACTCAATGAAAATCACAGATGCAACACACTTGATTGAACGCACAAAGATTGAGTGTGCTAACATTAACGTCAATGTGGAGTTATTGCATCGAGTTCACGTGAATCTTGCAAAATCTAAAGCTATAGAACCAGGTGTGTCCTGCAATTTACCCATAGCTGATGGAGCGAGGAGAAGTGGATTCATACCTTTTCCAAGGGTGTTAGCAAGTAGGTAAATGTAATGGATTCGACTGGAATTCGAACTCGGCTCCCCAGTTCCTCAATCCGAGCCTCTATCAATTACTCCACAGTGCCTGAGATGATATCGTAACTATTTGCACTATTCGTTCTATTGTCCTCATCTTTATTGTCATATCCATTTTAATGCCACTTTAATGACTCAGTTTTCCAAGTTTTGTTCACCCCAGCTGTGTCCAGTTATTGAACTCTGGATTCCTTCAGCCAACGCTTTTATCTACTGTGTCATACGGATATAACTGAAACTGAGATATACGAAAAGGGCATGGCACGTGGAACTAGAACAATAGATGAAATAAAGGGTTCAGTTCGAAAATCCAACCTATATGTCCTGAAGAAGGCTGGGGCGTACAACCTCGGGAATATTACAATAAAGATGGAGACAATATTCCAAGCAATGTAAATAGTGTACATTGTTCTTTATTCTATCATTTTGTCTTATTCCCATCCATATTTGGTCTGTAGTTCCCCATTCATACATTTATATGAAAATATCCAACAGAATACTTTTTTCTTCCCTTAACAATATGTATAGAATGTATAAAATGTATTTTCGTATTTTCTTGTGAATTGGGAATCACTAATTTATCTGATGCATACACGTTCTAAAATATTATCCCTTTTTGGTAATGTAACTTTACAAGGCAACGTGTCTGCAGTGTTACGTTGCGAGCACGTTGTGGAGGGAGGTATACAAAACAGCAAACTTTACAGAAATGTTTCAGCAGCGACATCCTTTTAGATGGGAATATGGAAGGTCGCATTGTCTGCATTGACTATGTATAAGTTTGTACTATCTCCTCGATCAAGGCATAAATACACTTGTTGTGAGTTGTTAATAATAAGAATTCATTTTTATTTCCAAGTTCCTCTCTGCACAAGGTGCAAGACAACTCAGCACCGCCGACTCAACACCGCCGGCTGCGCCTTCGGGATAACTCAGCACCGAGACAACTCAGGACCGTGACAACTCAGCACCAGAAAAATATAACGTTTTTTTTTATAACGGAATAAAAGTAATTTATTAAGGATTAAAACCTTAATTAATCAATATTTTTCTTCAAATAAGGTATTCGAAAAGGCATTATGTAAAACATAAACCATATTTTTGTTTTTTAATTATTGCTAATAAAATAAATCGTAAAGAAGTTTATTTTTAATAAAGTAAATTGACATATCAAAATAATTCAATAAAACAATTATTTTTAATAAAGTAAATCGAAATGCAATTTATTTTTTAATAAAGTAAATCGACATTCAAAAATATTTTTATAAAACCTAATTTAATGATTTACTTCATTAAAATTTTTAAAAAAAAGGTTCATATTTTACATAATACCTTTTCAAATGCCCTATTTGAAGAAAAATATTCACTAATTAAAATTTTAATTCTTAATAAATTCCTTTTATTCGGTTATGTTTTTCTGATGCTGAGTTGCCTCGGCCCTGAGTTGTCCAGGTGTTCAGTCGACGGTAGCATTGAGTTGTCCCTTCCCTTTCTGAACATACCTAACAATATCATTTCGCCAGCGATTTCTATCGTCTGTCCCTTGAAAATATTCATTTTCATGGTCTGATCTTCTTTAAAATTACTTAACCATTTCTTTTTAGTCAATTTAATGGATGTTTTTTTTCGTCGACTATCGAATTTTCCATTTTAGAAGTCTGATTATTTCGCAATGAAGACTTTGAAGTTGCTATGTAATTGTTGCAGGCTTAAGATTTTAGTTCAGCAAAGCAATTAGACTTATATATGAATACATTCTCGTGACGCGGTAATCGAAACACTGATATATCCGGTAAGTATTTTGATAAATAAAGCCAATGCCTATCAGGTATGCCAAGGTCAGGAATTTCAAGGGCTATCTATTTAGGTTTCTACTTTTTAATGCCAAAAATAATCAACTTATTGTATTTTAAAAAAAAAGACCTCAGTGCCCCGGAGTCAAAATGTCTACGTACACAGGAGTTAAATAAATGAAAAAGAAATAAAAACTGAAAAGGTGGGAGGTTGCGGTTAAATTGCATGAGAAAGGTTAAAGCTATAAATACACACACACACACACACACACACACACACACACACACACATATATATATATATATATATATATATATATATATATGAAATAAATAAAACTTAATGAGTCAGGTACTACCTAACTAGGTTTCACCACATGGGATAATCAGGGTGAACTGGCTAAGAGCAATTATGAAGGAACAAATTTATTGTTAAATCACGGCTAAAAACTAAAATTGGCATAAGCTTAAAAAGGCATAAAACACGTGACTAAAAAAAAAGATAAAGCCAAAAACAAATCTTTATTCTAATAATCAGGCTTTCATATGCTTGCATCGATTAAGGTTTTATAACCTCTGGTTTAATAAAATATTTGGTTTGTTGAAGGTAGAAATTGCTAACTTCTCCATACATAATATAGAGAACTTGTAACCCGCTTTATATTTACAACGTTTTTTGTTTTTGTATTTCTCATTTTAGAATAGAATCCGTTCTATTTTCCTGTTTAATAGTCCAAACGTATTTAGATAAGTTAGTGTAATACCTATACTTCTCATTCTTAAAGCTACTTATATGACTATAGCCCTTGTAGTCATTAAACATATAAATGACCGTATAAATAGACAATTGTTGCTTCAAAAGACGACACTAATTGCTGAAAATTCGACTCGTCCTTCCACCATGAGTTGTACATGCAACATTACTTAGTGGAATGGCCGACCCATAGTGGATCGAAAGGCTTAGCTTTTGACTTGTACGCATTGC